AATTTATTTAAGGGCTCAGCGCCTGTAGCTCAAGCAGCGAAGGCGCAGCCCCATACACCAGAGCTGGTGGGTTCAAATCCAGCCCGGACCTGCCAAACAGCAATGACAACTACAACCAAAATATGGTTGGGCGGAGAGTACCTATAGTCCCAGCTACTTGGGAGGCCGAGGCAGGAGAATCGCTCAAACCCAGGAGTTGGAGGTTACTGTGAGCTGTGACGCCATGGCACTCTACCCATGGGCAACAGCTTGAGGCTCTGTCTCAAAAAAATAGAATAGTTTGATGGAAATACCTTTATAGTTGATGGTTATTTTCTGTCAACATTATCTACTTTCTAAATTGCTTTGTTAAGAAGTTTACTAATCTCTTGTTCTTTTTATGTAATCTTTCCCTTCCTGGTATATGTTTGCAAGCTATTCTCTTTGTCTTTAATAAACATCTTTTCTAAGCTAGATATAAGCATGGATTTCTTTTTATCCTACTTGGAATATATTATACTTCCAAATCTTTAGGTTTGTGGTTTTCATAAGTTTTGGTAGATGTATAACTGTCAGTTCTTTGAATATTACTCTTTTTCTTTTCTTTTAATATTCTCATTCTTGACCTCCTTTGGTTGTCTGTTAAGACTATCTCATTCCATCTGTCACGTCTTTGTTGAACCTCTCAAAATATTCTCTCTCTATCTGTCTCTGATATTTTGGCTAAATTGTTTGACTATATACTCTAAGTTATAACTACCTCTTTAACATTGTATAAATTGTTGTTTAATCCATTCATAGTAGTAGAGGGTGGCGCCTGTGGCTCAAAGGAGTAGGGCGCTGACCCCATATACCGAAGGTGGTGGGTTCAAACCCTGGCCCCTGCCAAAAACTTCAAAAACAAATAAATAATCCATTCATAGTATCTGATTTCAAAAATTTTTATTTAACTCTTCTAGAAGTCTTTCTTTCCTTTCTCTTTTGAGACAATGTCTTGCTTTGTCACCCAGGATTGAGTGCACTGGCATCATCATAACTCACTCCTGGGCTTAAGTGATCCTCCTATCTCAGCCTCCTTAACTTTTTCTATTAGTAGAGATGGCGTCTTGGCTCTTGTTGAGAGCTGGTCTCAAACTCCTGACCTCAAGAGGTCCTCCTACCGTGGCCTCCCAGAGTGCTAGGATTACAGGTGTAAGCCACTGTACCCAACCCCATTGATTTCTTTAAGATCTATCCATTTCTGATTGTTTTGTCCTCAGCTTTGTAATCACCTTCATAATTTCTTCAAACATTTTGTACCTAGCTATTATGTATTCTAAAAATACTGTAGCTCAGTGCTTCTTGGTCTAAATCTTTTATTTCTTGTTTCTAATTTTGAGTAATCTTTGTGAGATAGTGCTGGATTTTAATTTGTAGAAATCATGTGGGCCTAACTTGAGGGAAATCCATTCTTCTAAATGGGATTACATTTGTTTGTGTTTCGGTCAATACCCAGAGAGTACCTACAATAAGGATTCTGTAGCTTTGTGTAAGTAATTCTAAATGTAGAATTTCTGGGTCTTGAATTTTGCTGGGTACTGTTAAATTTTCTTCTATAAGATTATATTGATTTCAGCCCCACCAGGAGTATTTGAGAATATGTTTTGCTTTTTCCCTATATATTCCTATCACTATATTGCAATATTTGCCATTTTGTTGGCAAAAAATAATTTTTTGACTATTAGTTGAATTAGCATTTTATATATATTTATTTTTGAGACAGGGCCTCAAGGTATCCC